TTCCTGCCACGTCGTCGATGCTATTGGTGGGTCCCTGTTGGCACATCATTTGTCGGATTAAGTAACATGCTAATTCTCACTAGTGTTTTATTTCCCACGACAAAGCCCCACAATTACTGTATGATTCTGCTCCCATTTTCCACGATAACATGGATGACAGTATATCAACAATGGATGGTCTATAAGATAATAAGGTTAGAGGTTTGTACTTTAGTATTTATAAATGAAATAAACTTAGTTAGGAAGATCATCCTCAACTTTACAATATTAAATCGAATAGTAGTAATTATATAAAGAAAACATGGATGATCTTATATCTTCTTGTAAAAGATGCAGCCAGGAAAGTGTTTCCCATGTAACTTAAGCATAAATTGTCAAGGATTAAACTGGATTTGTTTTTAAAAGATGGATAAATTAAATAAATTTTATCTTCAAAGAAGGAAAACACAATATGTATTTAAAACATGTGTTAAATTAAATCTAATATGATGTGTCCTCACCTATTAAACCTGAAAAGGAAATACAAATTTGATAAATATTTTTTAGAATGTTATACATAATTAATATATAGGTGGGAGTTGATTCAAGTGATTTGTAGTATGATACGTTTAAGTCTTTGTATATGTAGAAATCTTCGACTTTCTATTATATTCAAACGTATGATGTCGGTCAGTCTTAAAAATAGAGAGGAAATTTGAAAATAAAAAAAGTCTGTGGATGCCAAAACTAAGGTCGGTGGACGAGTTTCCTATACGTTCATCGTCTCTTTTTCCTTTCCAAAGAGTGGAGACAGGCAGTTCGGTGAAATTTTTTTCACTGTTCCCCTAATTCATTTCTTTTTCCTTCTGATAATAATATTTATTTCTAATTTTATTTTCTATAAATGATGTAACATAATTATAATTTATATTAATACAATAATAAATATAATATTAATAATTAATAATTAATTTTATTATAATTTAAACATGATTATTTCAAATAATTATAATGAATTAATGATTGAGTGAGGCAGTTGAAACAATCCCCTCTAAAAGTTTAAATTATCATATTTTCTATATTTATTTATAATTTGTTTTCACTCTTAAAATTTTAAAAGTTTGTCTTTTAATATAAAATCAAGTGTGTATCTCTAAATGTAATTATTTATTAAAACAAAAGAAATTAATCAAAAATAAGTCATTAATAAAATAATCACCAAACGAAGAGATGACACAAATTCAAACTAGAAAAAAATTATGTCTTATAGAAACAAAACAAATGACGCCCTACCTTTTAAGTGGTTATTTTTTTCTTTCATATTATATATATATATATATATATATATATATATATATATTATATATATATATATATATATATATATATATATATATATATATATATATATATATATATATATATATATATATAAGTTGTAAGCTATGAGCATAGTTTAAATCAAAATATTTTAAATCATATACTTATCCATATGTGAATAAAAGGAGGACATTTCATTTTAAAAGAGGATATATATATATATATATATATATATATATATATATATATATTTATCTTCTCGATTCCAATGTTTTACCTTGACTAATTCGGACAAACCCGCATCGCACACCTTACTTTGGTGAATAAGTCTCAGTACTTTAATTTAATCCTTACTTTATGTTCAATATATTCTTCAATTGTTTTCTTATTATCATTCTATTCTTAATTATTTATATCTATTATTTCAGTGTTATTTTTTATTAGAAAAAGGTATTTAACACATTATTTATTAGTTAATTTAGTAGCGTGAAACATTCTGTGAATAAAGAAAATTAGATTAAGATAATTATCTCATAATAGATCTATATAATACCTAATCTAGATTATTTGAATAATATATTCAAATAGGATGATGCTACTACGCTTGACGAGTACGGATGAATATCGTTAATGATTAGCACCGTTAATGATGAGCACCATTAATTTAATTTATAAAACGTTAAATTATAAAGTACTAAACTTATAATTATAACTTAATTAAAACTTTAAATGTAATTTAATTAAAATATAATATTTATAAAACATTAATTTTTATAATCTTATTATAATTAGATCAAATATTAATTTGAGAAATTTATAAACCCTAATTTATTTTCATAGCTTTAAAACTCCCACTGTCCCACGATCGTCACTGCCCCTGTCAACGTCGTCTTGTCACTGTCGTCGCCACTGTCACCCCGCCACCACTATCGCCCCACCGCCGGTATCATCTTTCACCACCGACGAACAACAAAGACTAAATCGATTATGAAAGATGATACCAGTGGCGGCGGCAACTATGGTGGAGGTGACGGTGATGGCGACAACGGTGGCAACAACGACAGTGACAACGACGGTGACTTCAAAGCTATGAAAATAAACTAGGGTTTATAATTTTTTCAAATTAATATTTGATCTAATTATAATTAAAATAAAATTATAAAAACTAATTTTTTATAAATATTGTATTTTAATTAAATTACATTTTAATTAAATTACATTTTAATTTTTAACTAATTTATAATTATACATTTAGTACTTTATAATTTAACATTTTATAAATTAATTTAATAGTATTTATCATTAATTGTATTCATCTATGCTCGACGAAGTTGTAGAATTTTTCATTTAAATATTAACTATTATAAAAAAAATAATTATCCGACAACAGAACATGTGTAATAAAAATTTGAGAAAACTTATATATATATATATATATATATATATAATAATGAACAAAAAATCCTGAAAATATAAAAGTTGTTTTAACTTTATGTTTTTTTTTTCAAAATCATAATTATGATTAATATATTTTTAAAAAAATTGGAAAATTCTTAAAAACTAATTTTTTTATATAAAAAAATTGTGTTGTTTCAAGATTTTTAACTAAAACCTTGAAATGATTGATGATAGCATGAAATAGTGGGCAACCAATGATAATATGCATGGCCGTTTTGTTGTTTGTCTTGTATAAAAATGGAGGTGCCTCACATTATCAAAGTAGCCCACTTTTTTCCAAGTAAAAAGTACTACTTAATTATTACACAAGTAAAAACTTAATTTGAATTTTAAGGTGTATTTTCATCCAGCTGAATCGAGGAGTGGCCCAAGACAATCGTTCTCCTTAAATTTTGTAATTTCTTTTATATTTTTCTATTGATAACCTATTATTCTCTTTCTTAAAATTTTACAAATTTAATTTTTCTCTTAAATTTTGTAATTTCTTTTATATTTTTCTATTGATAACCTATTATTCTCTTTCTTAAAATTTTACAAATTTAATTTTTCTCTAAAATTTGATAAGTTTATTGTTTAATATAATATTCTCCATTCGTCTATATTTTCACTTGATATATAGAAATGTTATATTTTGAGATAAAATATTTTTGTAGTATGATGAATATACATTAGTTTAACGGTGTAATTTTTTTTGTTATCCTTTCGATTCTTAATGCTTTGTTTTGATTAATTTGAATCGATTTAGATCGTACATTTAATTGTGATAAATGAGTCTCCCAACAAGAATTTTCTACTTATAAAGACTCAAACTCAAGACATACTTAAGTGATATTAAATTGTTTATCACTTGAATCAATCTATTGATATTTTGACGGTGCAACTTTATGTAAAAAGTTAAGAACTCAGGCCAAGTGTCCAAATGAAACGGATCTGCTTACCAACAGACAATTGAATCACTCTTTTGTGCAAACCAAGATAAAAGTGGGCGCTCTACACTCAAGGGTGTCAAAACTGCGGCTTAATTTACCATCATTCATAAAATCAAATTTAGGTTAAAAAGAAACTGAAAGGCATATAAAAATCTTTAATTTAAAAATTAAAAATATTTTTAATCTTCAAATTTTAGTTTATTTTAATTTTATTCTCTATTTCTGACTATATTGTTGATTATTGGTGGCGTTCAAACCTATGTCCCAAGGCATATAAGACAGTTATAGGTAAGTGTGATACTAGATTGTCCAATCAATATCTTATATGTCTTGCCTCTACACAAGTCTAAATTTATCAACAAATAAGATATAATTTTAAGATTAAAACTAAAAATATATATATATATATATATATATATATATATTGAAACTATAACACTAATTATTATAGGTTGTTGTCCTGAAATTCCATAAACAGATTAATGATATGTGAAGTATAGAAAACGATGTTGCTTGTGAATTCATTAGCTGATTTACTATCAGTATGTGTCCTAGTGGGAAGTGGGACAGGACAGAAATGAAGAAATCTTATCACATAATTCTACGTACGACTACTGGGACCAATTAACCAAATACATGGTTTGGATTTCAGCTAGCTGTCCTCATCACCTCGATTCTAGATCATTATTGTTGCAAATTTTATCCAACCCAAAAATATCACCCTTTCTGCCTTTCGTTTTCTATATAACCCTCATCCCATCACCATATCAACTCTCTCATCTTCCTGTTTCATCATCTTACTTATTCTCCTTTTCCATTTCCTTGTTTCGGGTTTCCGATATGTAGCTGTGCCACCCGAAATTCACCGCCAGCCTAGCATTCGAGCTTAGAAAGAATGGTGTAGCCAAGGATGACTTGCCGACTCTTTCTCTGATCGATCCGTCCGCGAGTTGTCCTTGGCTACATTTTTCTTTCTGCTTCTCATGCTAGGAGTGTTGGTGATTCTATCTTTCTATCTCCATCTCCATATATTATTAGTTGCCAAAAAGGTATCTAACAAATCTCTGTCTATTCATTTAAGATTTATATACTTTACATATTGTTCAATTTATCTATTCATGTTATTTACTTAGAATTCTTTTAGTTCATGCAAACTGATCAGTTATAGGCATATGTTATCAGCCAACTTAAGAAACTCTTGCTAACTACATGAATGTACCCCATGTGGTTTATTTCATCAAAGCTCAACTAACATGTACAAGGCAATAACTGAATTTGGCATATTACCTTTTTGAGTTTGCCATGGATCGAAACATGATGGTTTTTCACATCTATGAACAAATAAGTTCATCTTAGAAGTCCATAAATGTAAAACACATTGGTTGGGGGAAAATATGAAACTAAAAGAAACAAATCCAGAATTTGTGAAGTTCATACCAATCGAGAGCTCTCCCGATGGCATTGTTGAGAGTAGCAATAGAATGCTCCTGCAAATAGGAAGGTAAGCCAAGAAGAAAAGAACCCAAATGAGCTATTGGGAAGCAAAACAACAGTCACAACGCTTTAAGATTAAGAAGAAAAGAACTCATATGAACAATATCTGAAAATTGTTCTGTTAAAAGAAAGAAGGGCATGTTCAAGCTTTAAGATTAAGAGTTTCCAAAATATACTTGTTGTACCTTCTCCGGATTCCTCCGCAAGCCGCACTTCCGTTGTTTTTCTTCTGGCTGTTGAAATCTTCGGATGAACTAATCTGCGGTTCAAAATCTCCAGAGTTCTATATCCTTCGGTCAATCAGTCTCTTGACATGAACGGATCTTCCAGAGCCATATCTATTATCCGACAGCCATATCTATGTGCCCGAACGACCTACAGATAACCATCATTACGACACTAGCGGCTCAATATAAAAGTCATGATTGGGAAAAAGAATTCGAACTCTATCTTTAGATCTCTCTCTCCACATCGTGCATCATCTCCTTCTCTAATTCCTCATAATCACTGATTGCGTCTCTCCGCTCATATCAAAAGTAATGAACCGACATAACTACAATTTTCCCATCAACAATACTCAATTCAAAATAATCTAATGATCTATAAAAATGCCAAACATAAATGAATGAATACTTTCATGTAAAGCCACAATGAATAACAGGAGAGAAAGGACCCCTATATGAGCGGATTAACTTTAACTTGGTGAACAGAACACGAGCTAAATGCTATTCTAAATATATACCCTACACTGCAGTCTGGCAATGGATTCAGCTTCATATATTAAAAACTGAAAACAATTCAAGTTCAGTAAGTATATACTCGCAACGATCAACATAATCATCAAAAACTGTAGAAATTTGTCATAAAAGTAAAGGGGAAAATACCATTTTCCTTTCAGTCCCAACTCCATCGCCTTCACATCACTCGCTGAAAACACAAACGTTCAATAATTAAATTTTAAAATATAAACTTCCTTCTAATCAGTCTCTTGGAAAAGTAATTAATTCAAAAGAGAAATCTAATCTCTTTCTAAATTAGGGAAAAATAACAAAAAGAAAAGTTAAAAACGAGAAGAATTGATGAATCACAGAGGCAGAAGCTTCAAAATAGAGCATTGAATGAGAAATAATAGTAGTATTATTGAGAAAGAGAGTGATTGTGTCATTTTACCTCCGACATAACAAAGTGACTAGTAGCATATTCAAGTGCACGTCGCCGAATGAGGTGGAGATTGAAAGAACCCACTCCGATCACTCCGACGATGAAGGCAATAGTTTACCACTAATCACTGCCATCGGAATCACCTAAAACCAAAGATAACGATTAAAAGCATTTTTCAGAAAAGTGATCTATCAAATATCTGGGTGTGTGTGTGTGTGTGTTTTTTTTAGCTTGAACGAGAGCCAAATGTAGCAACACCTAAACTTGCAGTATCATTCGAAAACACTCTTATCAACCTCTCTCCTATGTCCTTAGATGAAATCGATTGTGATTCTTCTTATCTTTAACCTTCACCGTTTAGATCTTAAAATACCATTCTGAGCATCGATGATCGCCAAGTAAATCTCTTTGTTCTCTGCTTTTTTGTCTCACTATTTTTATCTGTCCATATTCTCTTCTTCATAAATTCTCATCGTCCTCTCTCTGTCACTAGTCGACAGTATAAATAGAGGAAGTTCGCCGAATTAGATGAGTTTTAAGTGATAAGTAGTGACGATATAGAAATATTTTTTAGGATTTTCATATATATTTTAATAATAGAAATTTTATATAAATAAAATTTTATATGAACACCACTAATAAAATAATAATTAATATAAAGAAATTCGAGATAAACACTAGATCCTATGTACATCCGCCGCTGGTGAGAAGGATAATAATGATCTGATAAGAGAGATTGGGATAAAGGTTAGTTTGAACGGAAGAAGGGATAAGGGTGGACGATAACTGGTTGTCGGAGATAAAGGTCATTAAACTAAGGAAAACACAGATTTCAAGCATATAGCACCACCAGACAAGATTTCAGTGGATAGTTCCTGGACACATGTAAACATAACAGAAGCGAAAGAGTTTGCAGAATCAGAAACTTTGAAATTTGCGTTACTTTCAGATTTTGGATACTTTGGATGTGATCAAGGAGGAAGCTTAAGGTTAATCAAAGAAACTTGTTCAAAACCAAATCTCTCTACGTTTCATTAATTTTGAGGACATGTTTCTATCCTTCAATAAATTAGATCAAAAAAAGTGCTGCAAATTTTAACCAGTGGTTGAAGATAATTGCCAACTGTACTAGCAGAAGACAATTCTTGAAGCTTCCATGAGTTCTAGACCATCCAAAACCAGTAGATATTTTTTTCAGCTTTTAGTAGGGAGTTGAGAGTAAATGCATGCCACTTTTTTTTTATTTTGACATGTCATTTTCAGGGATGCCCATTTCAACTGAAGAAAAAGTAGGGAGGACTACATACATAAATGCATTACTACTATATAGAACTGCCTGAAATATCAACCATACAATAGAGCATGATTCTTATAAGTAACACTCTTTTTTTCTCCTTAATGACAACCAACCTAAAATATACATACTTAGTTGCTCCTCTAGCAGACTGGGATCCCAAAAAAATCTAAATCCAAAAGCCTGCACAACTTTACTATGTTTCTCATTTGAAACATCAACACTCAACACTAGTACATGAACAGGAAGATGGTACTATTGTAATTGAACAGTGACGATAGGGAGTGGAATGGGGTTGGCAAAAAAATCAAACCACATTTCATCTCCCAGCACCAACCAAGGTCTTTTCCTCGCTTTCTTTCAGCTCGAAAGATACCATGGGTACTGGTTTCGATACCGTGACCTCTTCTGCTGGTTGAACTGGATTCGGTGAGTAGTTGAAGGAAAGGTCTTTGTTGGCAGCTAATGCCAGAAGTTCCTTCTCATCAAGACCTTTTGTCTGCGATAGGCTGCATCGGTCCGGTATGTGCTTGGCCAATGCATCTTCGAATTTCTTGATCTGTGGAATTATCATTGTGATCACAACACATATCAGGGCAAAACTCGACAAACAGCATGCTTAACCGGTTGCATTCAAGAAGCAGAGCAATCGATCTCTCGACAATCTCACAAATTAAGCAAACGGAACAAAAAATTGTAGAGCCCTGGACAATAACACAGCCAACTGATAACTAACATGCATAAAAGAAGGATACAAACAGGACTAACCGTAGCATTGGTGCAGCTAAAGCTACATAAACGCCCCTGAGCTCCTCTATAGAACCTAAAGAAAGGCAACACATGTACATTAAGGCTATAACACATGGATTTATGCTCCTCATACTTCACGTGAAGGAACTGCACATCTGGGTTCATCTCAGCCAATTGGCAAATCTGCCAAATCCAAGCACCCAAATTCACTAGTATTAATACAAATACATGGACATACACACGCAACTACGAAAAACAATATATATGCACACATATATAACCTTTCAAATGCATATTCTTATACCTTGGGATGAAGAGCCTTGCAGCCACGACAACCAGGTGAGAAGAAATCTACTATAACAAGTTTATCCACAGCATTCAAAAGAGAGTCCACCAAATCTTGTGCAGATGTCACTTCTTTCATATTTGGTAGCACTCTCTTCTCCCACCACTTCTGGGTTTTACCAATAAGGCCAGTTTGCATCTGAAACATATAAAATATACTAAGAAGATTCCCACAGCTTTGTCTCCAAAAAGGATATCTAAAAATTGAACAAAAAATAAAGATAATTAAACCAACCTGTGCTTTAATGGGGACTTGACGAAACCTTGTATCAATCGCACTTTTCTTCTCTAAAAAAACCACTCCTTGTCCATTAAAACCACTCCTCAAAGCCTGGGATTTCACCTTCAAGGAAGGAAAACTATTCTTTTTTAAACAAAATCCAGAAATTACCTAGAAAATTCTTGATTCTTCTTCTGGCTATGGTTACAAGCTGTAAACAGATTCGCCTTCCCCAAAACTTCAGCCACACCTAATTTTCCCACAACAGAAGCCTTCGTTTAATTCCAGAACAATAGCTTTGTCTCTTGAAGTTGAAAGCAAAAAGCTGCTTCCTTCAACTGATTTCTGTTGATTATTTCAAGGTCTAAGGTTGGATTTGGACCGTTGATCTAACTTATCTTGGTGTGAATCGAACGGTTGATGATGTCTTGTGATTGGAAAGTGCAAAAAGAATTGGATAAGGTGAGTTTTTTACTTGTAAACTTTGGTGGTTTTATGGTGGGGTGGAGGTACACTGATGATGAATTTGTGGGGTTTTCACACGTGGCTTCCGAACTTAGATTTTGCAGAAGTGAAGTGCGGTTTCGGAGTTGCATTGGATAAAAGGTAGGTGGTTTCACACCTCACCTATTACTTATGTGGGCCGCATTGCAAATTATAAACTATGCGAAAGTCATGTTCTATGAACTTTAAATTAAAAGAAGATGATCCTTATATAATGGTTTCTAATATTATTGATTTATTATTAAAAAAATAATATTATTGATTTAATATAAAATGATCCCTCATACGTTATCGATTCGTTAACCTATTAACAGATGTGTAACATGGTAATTAAATTTTTTTTAAAAATTACTTCACTCAGCCAATTGTACCCTACATGATATATCCGAAATTTGAACGTCATTAACTTTTCTAATCGTCACTTAATTTACTAGATTAAGTGAATTAAAATAATTTTAAATTAAATGAATTTAATTAATAGAAATAAAAAAAATGATGGGTTTTCTTCCTTCGATACATTTAATCAAACCCAAAAGAAATTAAAAAGTTCATTTTCTCTCTGAAAAAATGAAAGGTTTTTCTTCCTTTAATTTCTTTCTGAGTTTTTCTGGGGTTGAATCTGGGTTTCGAAGTAAAAATCTCTTCTCTGTGTGGGTTCTTGGGTGAAAATCAAATGGAATAAAAAGGATTAAGGTTTATCTCATTCTGCCAAAATAATTTAGGATTTTTTTAGTTCTCTGGAAGAAAAAAGAAGGACTTGTTCATTTTCTTCTAGTTTATAAACGAATGTGATACCAGAATGCCTAAACGGTAGTTTGTCATGACCCATAAAGAGAAATTGGAAGTTAATGAGGGAGAAAAGGGAAATATGGTGAGTCTAGGGATTTCATTGGAAGTTAATGAGGGAGAAAAGGGAAATATGGTGAGTCTAGGGATTTCAATGGAAGCTAATGTGGAAGAAAGGGGAAATACGGGGAATCTAGGGATTTCAAATGAAAAGGGAATTATAATTGATGAAGTGAATAGACCGAAGAATTGGGTGAAGAATATACCTAATGGGCAGATGGACCAGGCGTGGGAAATGGGTAATGAAGCAAAGGATCAGATGGATGATGGGCCAGAGAACGAGACAAGCCCAACAACCTGAAATCACCAAAAGCAATAAAACGGTTAAGGAATCAATTTTGTTAGAGAATAGTACAGCTAGCAATATGTTATGAGCCATTTTCTATAAAAAAAAATTAGTTGTAATTAGATTAAAAAATTATCAATGAAAATGCTATGATTTTGTTTTCTTCAATCTAAATTATCTATTTCTTAAACCCTTTCTTATTTTCTTGAGCAATTCATCATAATTGGTAATCAGAGCACGATTTTTTGATCCAAAAGTACAAATTTTTTTTCAAACTGGGTAAATCAAAGAAAACTTAGCATATGACTCACCCTGATCAACCGCCAGTTATTCCTGCTGATCCAACAGAGTCTTCTGAAGTGGAAGTAATTCCTACTTGGTGGCTTAATCAACAGAGTGCCTTGGAGCAGAGGATGCAGGTTTTGGAGATAACCACGAGTGAAACGAAAAGTCTTTTCCATTAACTTTTGGGATTGATGCAGAAAACTGGGACTGAGTCGGGACATTCTTCTCCTGCAGAAAGACAGCCAATGCCTACAGCTCAGCCTAAAGAACCAAGTAAAAAGCCTCTACAAGTTACAGTTATTGATGATCGTGAGAGGTATTCATTTCATCCGGGACAACCAGGGATTTTGGCAGCAAAACCTAGTTTGCCACAGGATGATAATCAACAAGTCCATGATGTTTTAAAAATGAAAGTAGTGCCTAATACAACTGATTCAGGGGAACAATCTATCATTAAGGGCTATTCACTCATGGAAAAGCATTCCAGCAACAACAATAATGGTATGTTTCTTCCAAACCCAAAAGTAGAGCTCCAATTTTTTTATGGCAGTAATCCTATAAGTTGGATCAGAAAATGTGAGAAGTATTTTTCTATTTTTTTCATTCCTGAATTTCAAAAGTTAGAGATAGCTGCTATGTATTTCACTGGTAGAGCTGAAGTATGGTTTGATGGGTATATCATAAAAAGAGTCGAGTTACTTGGCATGAATTTGTTTCTGACATGTGTCATCGATTTGTTGATAAGGGTTATATTGATGTTATTGATGAATTCAACAAATTAACTCAGTTATCTTCTGTTGAGGAGTATGAAGCTCAATTTGAGGAACTTCAACCCTACCTTCTTCAGATTAATCCTGAATTAGGAGGAGTATTTTGTTTCTAGTTTTTTAAGTGGTCTTAAGGAAGAATTGAAACATAAGGTAAAGGTTTTAGAACCAAATATTGTAGCTGAAGCTGCTAGAAAAGCAAAGTTATATGAGCTGTCCTTGGAAGTGGAAAGTAAAAGATTTAGAAGCATTCCATGACCAATACTGCCAGGAAATACTTCTAGTTCCAGAACATTTACTTCTTTAATGAATTCATCTTTGAAAAACAATCCAGGGTCCAATCAAAATAGACAACAGTTATTGGGTATAGGAGGGCAAATAATTTGTGCTATAAATGTGGTGATAAATTTACTCCTGATCATTATTGTAAAGTGAAGCAATTGAATTCTATGGAGGAGATGGTTGAGCAAGAGGAACAAGATGAATTACAGGCAGCACAAAATTCTGTTGATAGAATGACAATAGAGGAAAATGATCCTGAAATTTCTGTGAATGCCATAACTGGCAGTTCAGGAGGAAGCACTTTTCGAATCCAAGGATTCATTAAAGGCAAACCACTCAGTATTCTGATTGATAGTGGCAATACTCATAGTTTTTCACTAACAGGTGGGCTAAAGAAGGATTATAATTAGAGGAAACTAATCCATTAGTCATTACAATTGCTAATGGTGATAAGCTCTATAGTATAACAAAGAGTAAACAATTGAGTTGGGAAATGCAAGACTTCACTTTTATTCATGATTTCAGGGTGTTAAACCTTGGAGGTAGTGATATGGTCTTAGGATTTGACTGGATGAAGAAGTACAATCCAGTTTTGATGGATTTTAACAGTATGACTCTTAGTTTTAAGATGGGTGATCAAGACATTATGTTGAAAGGAGGGCTAAACAATGCTGCAATGAAGATAATTTCAGGCAATAAGATGCAGAAATTGATTACTAGAAATACTGATTTGGTAGGGGAAATGTATATGTTAAATGTTGAAGTTGGTGGCAATATAATTCCTCCTACAATACAAGCTGTAATAGCTGAATATAAGGATGTGTTTGAAGAACCTACTGGAATGCCTCCAATAAGGAAGCATGATCATTCTATTATCCTTAAGAAAGGTACTGAAACAGTCAATGTCAGACCATATAGGATGCCTTATCATCAGAAAACAGAAGTTGAGAAATAAGTGGCTGACATGTTAGCTGCCTCAATTATTCAAACTAGCAAAAGCCCTTTTGTTTCTCCTTGTTTATTGGTTAAAAAGAAAGATGGAAGTTAGAGGATGTGCATTGATTATAGACAGTTGAATGCACTAACTGTTAAAAACAAGTTTCCTATTCCTATGGTGGATGATCTCTTGGATGAACTAGCTGGAACTAAATTTTTTTCTAAGCTGGATTTGAGATCTGGTTATTGGCAGATTTGAATTAAACCTGAAGATATTCCTAAAACAACATTCAGGACACATCATGGCCATTTTGAATTCAAGGCAATGCCCTTTGGTTTAACTAATGCACCAGCTACTTTTCAAGCTCTTATGAATGATTTATTTAGAGCATATCTCAGGAAATTTGTTCTAGTTTTCTTTGATGATATCTTAATCTACAGTCTTGATTTGCATAGTCATGAAGAGCACTTAAGAATTGTTTTGGATATTTTAAGGAAAAACCAGTTGTTTGCTAAGAGAACTAAATATTTTTTTGGCCAAGCTGAAGTGGAGTATTTTGGTCATACTATTTCACAATATGGAGTAGCTACAGATTCATCAAAAATTAATGTTATTCAGGAGTGGTCTATTCCAAAGAATCTGAAATCTTTGCGAGGGTTTTTTAGTCTTACTGGTTATTACAGAAAGTTTATTAAGGGGTATGGTGAAATTAGTAAACCCCTCACTACAATGTTGAAGAAGGATCAGTTTGTTTGGGCTGATGAGGCTAAGAATGCATTTATCAACCTTAAGAATACTATGTGTACTGCTCCAGTACTAGCTCTGCTAGATTTCACAAAATAGTTTTATTTGAAAATTATGCTAGTTCCAAATGCATAGGGGCAGTTTTATCTCAGGAGGGTAGACCACTTGCTTACTTCAGTAAAGCTTTGGGACCAAAACAGGTTGATTTATCTATTTATAAGAAAGAGTATTTAGCTATTTTAATGGTTATTTCTAAATGGAGGCATTATTTGGAAGGCATTCCTTTTATAATTAAAACATATCATGAGTCCTTGAAGCACTTGCTCGAACAGAAGCTAACTACTACAATTCAAAATAAGGGTCTTACAAAATTGCTGGGATTGGATTATTCCATTTAATTTCGTAAAGGTAAACACAACAGAGCTGCTGATGCTTTATCGAGATAGTTTGAAGAAAATTATGATTTCCAACAGTTATCTGCTACAGTAGTTATTCCTACTTGGGTCACTGAGGTGGAAAACAGTTATGAAACTGATTCCTTGGCTAAGGATTTAATTCCTAAATTTCTATTTGATCCTAATGGCATGAATGATTAGTCCTACACTAGAGGAATTCTAAGATATAAAGGAAGAGTGTATATTGGTGACACAGGAGGATTAAGGAATCAGCTGCTTTCTACACTTCATGATTCACCACAAGGTGGCCATTCTGGCATACATGCTACTTATCATCGACTGAAATTGTACTTTTATTGGAAAGTAATGAAGACACTGGTTAAACAATATGTTCAACAGTGTGATGTTTGTCAAAGAATTAAATAAGAACATGTCTTATAACCAGGGTTACTACAACCATTACCTATTCCACAACAAGCTTGGGAGTTCATTACCATGGACTTTATTGAGGGGTTGCCTCCTTCTAATAGATACAACTCTATTTTGGTGGTAATTGACAAGTTCACTAAATATGGGCATTTTTTACCACTGATTCATTCTTTTACAGCTTCTGATGTTGCTAAAGTCTACTTAGAGCATGTTTACAAACTTCATGGACAACCTAAAGTTGCTCTTTCTAATCGAGACAAGATTTTTACCAGTGTTTTTTGGAAGGAGTTATTGAAATTATTAGGGACTACAACCCTATTTACAACTGCCTATCATCCTCAAACGGATGGTCAGACAGAGAGACTTAATCAATGTCTGGAGCAATACTTAAGAGGACTTTTTTTTAAAGCCTGATTCATGGGCTAAGTGGATTTCTCATGCTAAATGGTGGTATAATACAAGTTTTCATACAACATTGGGTACTACTCCCTTTACTACTTTATATGGTTATATACAACCAACTATGACTTGGACTACTGACTCACAAGTAGCTGATATGCAACAGTTTATGAAAGACAAAGACAATATCAATAGTATACTACTTGATCAACTTAATAAAGCACAACATCGAATGAAACATTATGCAGATCAGAAAAGAAGTAATAGACAATTTATGGAAGGTGATGAGGTTTACCTTAAGCTTCAACTTTATAAGCAGACCTATTTGGCTCTGCGAAGAAACTTGAAGTTGTCTGCTCGTTATTATGGCCCCTACAAAATCAAATGAATAATTGGATTAGTCGCATATGAATTGGATTTACCAAATCATTCTCGACTTCATCATGTTTTTCATATTAGTCTTTTGAAACGAAAAATTGGGGATAACAGTGTTGCTACCAGAGACCCACTTGAACTTACTGTTGATGGCCAGCTTCGTGTTTATCCTGCGATTGTTTTGGATAAATGAGTCATTAAGAGAAACAACAAGGCAATTACACAATTATTGATTAAATGGTCGAATATGGGAGTCGAAAATGCTACCTGGGAGGATTTCACCGTACTGTGCTCTCAATTCCCTGATTTTGATTCTTGGGGACAAGCATCGATTGCTGCTGGGGGTACTGTCATGACCCATGAAGCGAAATTGGAAGTTAATGAGGGAGAAAAGGGAAACATGGTGAGTCTAGGGATTTCAATGGAAGCTAATGTGGAAGAAAGGAGAAATACGGGGAATCTAGGGATTTTAAATGAAAAGGGAATTATATTTGATGAAGTGAATGGACAGAAGAATTGGGTGAAGAATATACCTGATGAGCAGATGGACCAGGCGTGGGAAATGGGTAAGGAAGCAAAGGATCAGATGGATGATGGGCCAGAGAATGAGACAAGCCCAACAACCTGAAATCACCAAAAGCAATAAAACGGTTAAGGAATCAAATTTGTTAGAGAAGAGTACAGCTGGCAATATGTTATGAGCCATTTTCTATAAAAAAATCAGTTGTAATCAGATTAAAATATTATCAATGAAAATGCTATGATTCTGTTTTCTTCAACCTAAATTCTCTATTTCTTAAACCCTTTCTTATTTTCTTGAGCAATTCATCACACAGTTCTGCAAACCAGGGGATAACTGGATGCTTTATGGTAATTTCTTTGTTATGATTTTTTCAATTTTTAGTGTTTTATTTGTTCTGGGGACAAATGAAAGCTTTTTTTAGGTTTTTTTTAATCTGATTCAAAATTAGGATTTTTTTTAATCTGTATCTAAAATGACAATATTTTTTAGGGTATTCTTAATCTCTATTCATGGATTTTGTTAGGGTTCTGATTATTTTTTTTAAGGTTATGTATTCAAACTGATTCGGTGGGGGATTTTGTTTGTCTGTTATGGTTCATTGGAATTCTGAAATGATTGAATATATATGATTTTTATGATTTTTTGGGATTGAGTGATTGTATATATAATATGTTGTTTCTGTTGGATTTATTGTATGTGATTGTATGCCCTTTATAATATGTTTTTCTGTTATATAATATTCATTTTTTTTTGTAAACAACATTGTTTTACATTGAATGCAATTTAAAATTGTGTAAATAATTTAGAATTGTTTACTGACATTATTATAACTAGAGTTGCCAATCATGCTTTTTTATGGTTCATTAGGATTGAGTGATTGTATATACAATATGTTTTTATTGTATGTGATGTTGTATGACTTTATATTGTATAAACATGTTTAAAATGTGTAAAAAAAAGGATATCATAGTATATAAATACAGTAGGATTTAAATGTGTATAAAAATAGTATGATTTAATAGTGTATAAACGACAGTAGGATATAACGGTGTTTAAATATGTTTAAACATCATGTTTTCTGACATTGTATGCAATAATATTATGTATATAAAAACAATATGTTTTAGGTTTTAGTTGTATAAAACATTATATGATTTAATAATATATAAAAACAGTATAGGTTTTAAAAGTGTATGAAACAGTATGTTTTAGGGTTTAGTTGCATAAAACTATTTAAATGTGTATAAACAGTTGGATTTAATAGATGCAGTAGGTAACAAATAGGTATAAACGGTTGGATTTAATAAACAATTTGTTATAAAAATAGCATGTCTTAAATGTGTATAATATTTGTAATAAATGCAGTAGATTGTTTATTGATAGCTTAATGATATTAATTGATATAGTTGACTGTTATACTTTACAGATCATGGGTCATAAAAATTTACATGTGTCATTCATTATGGTGGGCACTTTGTGTCTTCACCCATAATGAAGTATACTTCAAAATATATAGCATGCATCGATTTGGTTGATATAGATGCATTTTTTATGTTTATTATATGTGATATAGTCCAGAAGATAGGTTTAGATGGTGCTTTTGAGATTTTTTGGATAGTACCAGGAGTTGTCTTGTCTACTGCTTTTGTTAGGCCATTAAAGAATGATCATGACTGTATGAAAATGATAAACAGAATGTCTCGCAAAAGATACTTACATATTTTTCTGGGACAAAATGGTGGATAAGTTGGAGATGAAAAAGTTTCGATGGATGTAAAACAATCTAAAGAAAAACAAGTTGTTGTAGAGAAAGAACAATTTGGAGAACAAGAAGCTGCTTAAGAAGGTACTGAACAAGTTGAAGAAGAAGTTGAACATATAGAGGATGAACAAAAATAATCTAAAGATAGAGAAGATTTTGAGGTTAGTGATAGTGATTATGATTGGGGGAGGACAAAAAGAGTACATGGAGAATATAAGAATTAGGGTTCAAAGGAAAATGAATAGTCTTGGGACTGAGGGTGTGAGCGTAGATCCTGACTGGAATCAGAGAATGAAAAATCTGTTAAACTATACAGTGAGCATGATTCTGACTCAGATGGGCCTAAGTATCATGAATTCAATGTTGACAGTGACATGGCAAACCCTCAAATTGTTAAGGGTCTGATATTCCCAAATAAGAATTCAATCAAGGAAGCTGTCAAACAATATGGGAGGGTCAATAGGGTGGCAGTGAAGTTAAAAAAAAAGACAACAGAAGGTTGCAAGTAATATGTAAGGAAGACTGCCTTTGGAAACTCTGGGTTGCCCCAATGTCACTTACAGCCTGGTGGCTTATGGATTTGTTTATTATTTTTAAATTGTCATGTCACATATCTATTAAGGGTTAACAGAAGTTAATGACAGAGGGACTAAAACCGGACAGATCGATAACGTTAGGGACCATTTCCCCTTGATTTTTAAATTGGTGACCAAAGTCAGTAATATCGAAAACATAGGGGACTTTTTTTTGGATAAGTAAGATTTTTATTTATCCAAGTAAGAAAAATACAAAGTTCCAAATAAGGATCAAAGACCACTATATACAACAAAAATGGTTAGTCTATATTCCAATTGTTACAAAGAAGCATATTAACACTATCAAGCCTATTGAAATCTCTATTCCTTTGTTGAATTCCAACTATTTCTTTAATAGAACCAAGAAAGTCTTCAACAGTTCGAAATTTGCCTTGAAATATGTGTCAATTTCTCTCCTCCCAAACTTTGTAGATGAAAGCACACCATACAATCTTCATAATGGAGGTTAATAAAGATTTACCTTTCCAAGTTAAAGAAGCCCAAGCAAGCTTGTTTTCCCATGACATCTGAGGTATGGACAGATGAGACAGTTTCAAAATACCATTCCAAAGAGAAGTAACCATAGTGCATTCAGCAAATAAATGATTTCTCGTTTCAAGAGCATCATTACAGAAAATACAATAACCATCAGTAGTGAGGCCCATACAAATGAGTCTCTCCCTCTCTCCCTAGTAGGGAGTCTATCAAGAATTGCTAACCAAGTAATAACATTAAATTTAAGGATGTGAAGGGGAAACCAAATAAGCTTTTTCCATGGGACTTTATCATTTTTGTGTCTTACTTCTTCCCAAATCCCTTTTTTTAGTCGTAATACTAGCATTAAGAATGGGGATGGCATCAGTTTTCAGTTTCAAAAGTTTTTTGAAGATGTAGCTTGAGGATGCACTAGTAGACATTTGGCTAAAGTCATTAGATTTGATTACTTAAGAATATGTCCAAGCAATCCACAAAGAACCTTGACCAACAAGAAGGTTATGAATTAACAGAATCATGCAAACCTTATTCCAAGATTTTAAATCTTTTAAGCCTAGCCCTCCTTCAGATTTAGGATTGCATAAATTACTCCAACTTACCCTTGCTCCAGAGGATGAAGTGTCAGAGCCTCTCCATAGATATCTTGAGCAAAGTTGGTTTATTCTGTTAATAACAAATTGAGGAAGTAGGAATTGACAACACCAGAAGTTTGCAATGTTTTGTAAAACAGTTTTTATGAGTTCTAACCTTCCAGCATAGCTTAAATGTCTCCCAGACCACTGGTGGATTCTGGATCTGATCTTATCAATAAGGAGGGAGCAGTCCTTAATTGTGAGTTTCCGAGAAACAAGCGGAACCCCTAGATATCTCACTGGCAGAAGTCCAAACTTGAAACCAGTAGAGGTTTTGATAAGTTTCAGGGTTCCTTGGAGAAATTCATGCTGCAAAATTTTTAGATTTAGCCATGTTAAGTTGGAGTCCAGAGATTTCATAAAATTTATGAAGAACAGAAAGAACTCCAGCAATTGACTCCATATTTCCCTTGCAAAAGATTAGAAGGTCATCAACAAAAGTGAGATGTGTGAGCCCAATTTTCTTGCATTTAGGATGATAACTGAATAAACCTCTGTTGGGAGCAAGATTAAGGAGCTTAGAAAGAAAATTCATAGCTAGGACAAAAAGAATGGGTGATAAAGGATCACCCTGCCTAAGTCCCCTTTCACTTTTGGCATAGTTTACCCTTGTTTAAAAGTTTCAACATAGGCAATGCAGATTCTCATTATTGTATATAATGCAGGTTAAATCACACATTGAAATGGCATATTATGATATCCAAACTCTCGATTTTCACTTACAATACTTTTGGTTGTATGACATATACAACCAAAACCCACTTTGTATTAAATAGTATACGATGCATCTTTGCGGTCACATAAGTTAAAAGGTGCATCCAACTGGAAACATCTTTGTTAAGGTATGACGAACTAGCCACACTTTTAATTTATGTGACCGAAAAATGTATTATTTCCCTAAATAATTTCTTTTTGAGTGTTATCTCCATAATTTATTTTAGAATAAATATTATGCCCGTACATAAATCCGAATATATATATATATAGGTAGACAAGAGCCCATCACACTAGTTGTGAGCAGTAGAACTGCCTTGATGCCGTCCATTTCCGACAGCAGCGGGGTGGCTGGTGCCGGATTGAGCCTCATTTGTAGTCTTCTGTATCATAAATATGATGTCGTCGTCAACGTTGAAATCATTATCAATCACTGCTTTAATAATCAAGTTCACCAAGTCATCAATCAATTTTGCGTTTGCTTTACACTCTGCAATCACTCTCTTGACCTCTTTGAGTGAACTTTCCCAATGTATTAGCCTTGCTTCGATGCTTATTTCCTCTCGCGCTCCACTCATTTCAGTATTTATTGCCTTAAACAAATCCTGCATGAAACAAGAATTGACACTCGGACCAAAATTCAAATATTACTATTGTCTTATTAAACGTTAATTATAGATTGGGAAGGTCATTTCATTTGAATTATATAATCTGAATTAATTCATAAATAAATTTAATATCAATAATTATTATAAAATTAGAAAGTTAAAGGAGAGAAAAAACTTCCAAACCTTTAAACCATGCACATAAAATAAATAAGAAAATTAAATGGCTCTCAGTACTGGACTAAAAAATAAACACATCCGATTTTAAAAAATTAAATCACTTATATAACCTTATTAATATAATGTTGCATATAATTTATTAATTTAACATATTTATCTTTTCATTTAAAAAATATTTATTTTTCCTTTAACTAAATTGATATCCAATTCACCTATGACACTAACTCAATGAAAAGTTTAATGTTACTGTACAAATATAATATTAAGTTTTAAATATTTTTATTCAATTTATAAACTTTATTTATTAGATATCAAATTTGAAACATTGTTTATAAAAATACCAAGTTTACTATTCATACTAATATCTCGACAAATGTAAATGGCAAGGTTAATGTATTGAAAAAGTTAACACTCTCAACCCTCGAATTTCTCGAAATTGTTCCACTGATATAATTTAATTGAGTTCATACTTTGATACTTGCAGATATTGAATTTGACATTTGAAATTCAATATTTTGGTGATTAAAATTGAATTTTTGGTTACAAAAATCTTTTATTAATTCTTTTGTTAATATAAAATCAATCGATCGATTGAATTTAATTCAATTAATAGTCTTTTTGATACAACAATATAAGAACATATGATAAAATATATATTTAAATGTTTAACATACTCGGATATAAAGGTGTGGAGGAATCTGAATAGTCTAATTATAATATCAAAAAATATAAGATCGATTACTTTAAATAACCTATTTCAAAATATATAATTTCCTCAAGTATGATATTAACTTAATCTGTAAATAAACATGCACACAAACTCTCAGATACAATGTTAACTTAATCATAAATTTTCTGCAGTATGTTTATGCCTTATCGGTACATTAATTTTTTTTTAAAAAATATTACTTGTGATCTCCCCATGCTATTAAGAAAAATCTAATAAAACTTGAGTTTTAAATTAACCTAAATATATCAAATACATTTAAATTTAAATTTAAAATACAAGTAATAATGAAATTTGTTACATCTTTTAAACTTATATGGTTAACGGATAAAAACAAGGGTAAACTACATATTTAGTATTTAAACTATTAATTTTATTCCGTTTTGGTACCTACACTTCATTTTGTCTCAAAATCATACCTAACGTTTAGTTTAGGTTTCAATTTGGTATCGGTCGTTAAGAAATTAACAAAACTGCTGACATTACATTTTTTTTATTTTTTTTCAATGATGGCATGACATTACCTTATAGTGACACGTCGACGTTACCATTATGTTTTTAAAGGTGGAGTATCAAAATAAAATCTAAACTAAACGCTCAGTATGATTTTGAAATAAATTAAAATCCAGGTATCAAAACGAAATAAAAGTAATAGTTTAGATGCTGCACGTGTAGTTTACTCTAAAAATAATATAAGAATTGGCTTTGAAGAGAATAGATAATCGAAGCATTACCATGTGTGTCTGCAATGGGTTGAAAGTACCATAACTTTTGTGGACCGGAGGGCTACTGTAGAGTCAATTTTGGGGGGGGGGGGTTATAAGAAAAAAATGTCACGCAACTACCAGGAAATATCATATCTCCTTTCCTCGTAATTACCACATAGTTGCTTATTATTATTATTAGGGATAAACTAAATTTTAGTCCTTAAATTTGATAATGTTTCTAATTCAATCCTTAAACTTGATTTTACTCCACAACAATCTTTAACTTTATAGTTTTTCTCATTTCTGTCTTTTTGATGATGTGCGGGGACGGAGCTATATTAAGGCTGGGAGGGGCTGTAGCCTCCCAATCCCACAAAGAATTTTTGTTTACATTATATATATATAATTGAAATACTTATGGGATAACTACAAATTGTCCCCTCGCTTTCAAAAAAAAAGTTATACATTGCCCCCGAATTGGGATCTTAGCTCCGTCCCTGATGATGTGACACTATAATATTATATCATATCATCAAAAAGAGTGAAATTAGTTTTAAAAAAATCAATTTCAATGACCATTATGGATAAAAAAAAGTTCAGGGGCCCATTTAAAAAATTATCAAATTCAAAAGGATGAAAGGTACTTTATCCTTTAGTATTATGTGATACAGTGATGGTGATTTTTTTCTTTCTAAGAAATTTTAATTAATATTTAAAATAAATAATTAAGCACGAGATTGTTTCAATCTCGGTGGTAAATGAATTGTTGTTATTTCTTGAGGTCCAGGATTTGAACACCATAAATGCTTGGGGTTTGAATGTTCAATGTCAAATGATTAAGAGTTATCTTTAAACAACATTGTCTTACACTTACTCTATATTTTTATAAAAAAAAAACTACAGACAATGATAAATTAAAATTACTTCTAAAAATTTGTTTATTTTTTATGTGTATTTGTAAAAGTTTATTAGGAAATAATTATGTTTAATATAATAAGTTTGTCAATGCCAAATAGTAATAGGTTAAATGCATATATTACTTTAAAAGTTATATATTTTTCTGATTTTGTCCATATAAGATCAACTTAGTACTTGAGTTGTGGTTACACAACAGTTACCACCGCTTGTCCACTGTTACCCTACACAAAACATGACGTGGTGTAATCAATGAACAGTGTACAGCGCTTCATCGATTGGCGGTCAATTGCGTGATTTCCAATGCATGCATAGCCTCTTCCGATCGTCCAATGATTGAAGGAATATGCCAAATCAAGTTTTCCAAGGCCTACATCGGCTTCACCGGTCATCCCACCCCCTTCATCGATTGGCCAATGCTCGTACGAGTACGCCAGAATCCACCAGTTGCGCCGCTTCCAAGGCGTCCATCGATTTCACCGATGGCCAGTTAATGAACCAGCGTATCTGCCAAAATCAAGCGATTGCGACTGAGCCAAGGCATGCATCGCCCTAAAAAACAACACTTTACCTCGTCTAGTCTCTCTCTTAAAAAAGAAGGAAAAAACAAAGGCATACTTCGCCTTTACCTCATCTGTTTTTTGGATCGTCCAGCAAAAGAATTGTTTTTTTTAATATTAAATAAAAAGTTAAGGTGCAATAAAGGTAACATAATTCTAATATGAAAAAAAATACCGAAGAAAAATAAAAGCAAAATCTTCACTTGAATACATACTTCATTTTTCAAAAAGAAATTAGCAACTATCAATAATTTATCGTCTGTATTTGAATTTAGATGCAATATTAATGTAAGCATGGACATTGAAAGAATAAATATGACAGGTTATGCTATGAACGATTTTGAGTGTATCAATAAACTGTCGCAAAAGGGATCTAACTATACTATACCATCAATCTTTCTTGATTAGGGATGGGCACGGAACCCGAATTCGACGGGTTTCGATTGAGAGTTTTTTTTAATAAATTGAGTTCGGGTTAGGTTTTTTAAAGGGTATGTTCGGGTCGTGTTGAGTTTGAGTTTAGGGTGAAAATACACAACCCGACTTGACCCCAAAAATAATATAATTATATCTTATATATTTAGGAATAATTGTAATAATATCTCTCTCTAAATTAATTTTCAATTAGATCCCTATTTTATTGAATAAAATAATTTTTTTTATAAAGATATTTGTTTCGATTGGATCAGGTCGAGTTCAAATTTTTCTCAAAAGGTTGATCAAGTTTTGTGTTGAGTGAAGTCACCCTAAACTTGGGCCTGGTCGAGTTTCTAGTAGAGGGTGTATATTTTTGTATTGAGTCTAGTTGGGTTTGGGGCCAACCCGACCCATGTCCATCCTTATTCATGATCAGGAAATACGTCGTGATGAATACAAAACGAAACGCTAAATTACATAATGATAGACAAAAATATACCGTATCATTAAGACAAATAAAAGTAAACACTTCGAAAACATATAAAAAGAAAGAAACTAAAACAATAAGAATATATATTCAGATCTAAATCAAATGAAAATTAAGTAAAAGAAAAAAAAATAAAAAGAAAGGAGAGACGACAGCACTAGACTGTCGCTTAAAACGACATTTAAAAAATTAAAGAGTAAAATATAAAAAAATAATTGTAACATAAAAAATAGAAATATATTTGAGAGGAAGACCACTACAATTGTCGATATCTCATAAATCCGAGGAAAAGCAAAATTAAAGAGAGACAGTGGCGGCCGATGTAAGCTGTAAGCA